GAACCCATGGCCTCTAAGCTGCATGTGATGGCCACACACATGAGCCACGATGGCTTTCATGGCTTTGTCTGGACCTTACATCTCACAAGCCTTATTGCATAATGACCCAGTCTGCCTTGGAGGATAACAGAGTAACTTTAATCTTTCTGTCCCAGCTCCAGAGTATCTTGCTGATAAGGGCATCCTTCCCAGTAGTAAAAATCCAGGGCCCAACACAGGGCCCATGTTTGTCCCTCTCTAAGTGAGAACTTTGACCTGTTCCTGCTACAACCTGTTATGAAAAAGTCCTAACACCACACCACCACTAGCCATTTTTTGAGCTGACAAATTCATAGGTATGCCTGGAATAGACCTCAGAGCAGACAACCAGATGCCTCCTGAAAGGTCCTACTTGGGAGACAGGCAGTTAGTGGATGCAAAGCCTATAGGGTTTGGATCTTCTACACTTAAGCAAACTAACAGTAATGTTACATTAAATTGCTCTTTTGAACAGATAATTTCCATTTCAGTTTCATTTAAGGCACATTAGTATTATTTTGGGTATCAGCTTTGAAATACACTTCAGCAGAATGAACTCCCACCCAGCAGAAACATTTTAAACATTAAAATATTTTTTAGGCTGTCACATACAAGTGTATATTAAAAGTATGATCACATATAAAAGTGATTTTTTGACTTAGCATAAATGTGTTTTCAATCATAAATTTTCTCTGTTTTTTTTTTGTCTAGATTTTACAGCTTTACTTGTTGATATTATCGGAAACTCCACCAGTTATCTCACAGAAATTTTCAAATCCAGCTCTATTCTCTCAGGTTTGCATTTCCTTTTATCTTTTTCTTATTTGTCTGATTTACTCCTGACATGGAAACAATAATAGATAGCTGTATAAAACAGTATTGTTCTTACCCAGCCGCATTTTTCTTGCAAAGCATGGACTGGAGTTGTACACAAATTGTCCTCAGAAGAATAAGATGCATATATAGAATGTGTATATATACATATATATATAAATTAAAATACAAAGACATACATGCTTCTATGAGCAGCTATGTTTTGTTTAAAAGTCTGGTGAATTATTATTAAATATTGGTGTTTAGGGGAATTATGATTCCCGAATAATAATTATGGGTTATATTACCTCAATAATTTTTTTCCATATAAAAATACTTGTAATTTAGAATTGTAGTTACATAGAAGTATTACCCCTGGAAATATTAGCATCTAGATTTGATGCTGTTTCAAGGTTTTTCTCAAAAATTAAATCAGAAGGAAAATATTTGGCCAGCTGCAGTAGCCACATACCATTTTGTGTTTGTGTTTTCAACTGTTCAAGATAATATATAATGAAAACTGGTAATAATGATCTAGTTTACATTTTTTTACCTTTCAGTGCGTCAGAGCAATGACTCAGATTGTATCTACATTTGTGTGATGACAGGGCAGACAGGTAAAAGTTAAAACCTTTCCACCCCTAAAAATTGACTTATTTATTCTCAGAGACAACTTATAGTAGAAACAAGCCTTTCTTGACATTTGTAAGCACTTGTATTCACAGGGACAAATCTGTCTGACTTTTGGGAAATGCTGGAGAAGTCTCCTGTTATTAATTACACATTTTCCAGTAACACATCTTCTGACCTGGGTAAGTACATGTTGGGGAATAAAAGGAAACAGCAATAACAATGAAAACCATGTCCAGGTAGCACTTGCAATGAATACTCCATCTTCATAATGTAAAAATATATTTTTTTTAATTATTCCTTTCTATTTTTATTCGTACTTATATATGTACACATTATATTTTATTAACTTTAAATCACAGTAATGTATTATATTATTCTAAGTGTAATATAATATTTATATTATAAACATAAATAAAATTTACAAACTCTTAAATTATTAGCTTTAAGGTCTTCTAGTGGAGGAAAGAATAAGACCTCCCGGGATGAAAGCTTACAGAATTCAGCATTAGACTGAGGACTGTCCCTGATGCTATTAATCTAAATTAGTGTCTTCCTTAGCTCTCAGCACAAATTACCTCCTACCTGTACACGAGTTACCTCCAGAAAGGAGTTGGATATATGCAGTGAGTGTTCTGCATGGCTCCTCCACCCAAAACTCCCTTGCCAGGTTGAGCTGTACTTCAGGTCCTCACCTCTCACTGCTGCCCGTGGCTATTTCTTATTTTCAGTGCTTGATTAAAACAGGCAGATGGTGAAATCCATGGGAAGTTTACCCGTGCTGAAAGCTGTGGAATGTTTTTCTCCTGTTCAAAAAACAACAAACAATCCCAAACCCAAAAAAGAATCAAAAACATTTTGCCAAAACTTACTTTAATTAAGAAAGACAAGGGGTGTTTCTATGACACCAGAACCTGATTTCTTTCCTTTTATCACACAACATGTGCTGGATGGTGTGTGTTCTAACCAATCTCCTTGTACCTCAAAGACCTAGAGTCGATTTTTTCAAGTTTCATGAAATTACAGGAAGACCCAAACAAAAGAGTGGATCTATCAGCAGAGCATGTATGGACATTTAAAAGTAAGCAAATATTGTCAGATTTAATTTATATTCTCCTTGATTAATCTCTTGACAAGTGATCATCTGTGTTTGCTGCACAGCACTGTGATGTTGTACTACAGTTACAGAGTAAAAGTTTGTCTGAAACATCAAAAGATCAGCTTGGCAGTGCACTCAACTGATGTAGGATAGAAATCTATTGTAAAAATCCATTTTATTATAAAAAGGATTTTTTTTAAATAGGGCAGGAAATTAAAGAAAAAAATGGTTGTTAGTTAAAAAAAAAAAAAAAAAAAAGACTGTTTTAACTGTTTCCTCTCCTTTTTTATTGTCCCTTTTTCTATATTTTACTCTGACTTTATATGATGTCCTGTTTTAAGTATTTGAGTATTTTGGGGCATTTAGCTCTGCCACAGGACTACAAGATAGAAAAATACGTCTGCCTCATTTTGAATGCCAAAAAGCAAGGCACTTGCTTGCATGTAGTATAAGCCAAGAGAAATTCAGACCTTGATTTCACGTCTCTTCATCACTGCAATGCATCTCTCTACAAAACTTCTACATTTTCCTTAGACAATCTGCTGTCTTTTTATAAGCTCTTTTGATTTGCTTAACCATATACCCATCTTTATTACCCCTTCTAGCCCCAAGTGTCACAAAATGTTGTCAGTTCTCGAATTCCAGTATTTGCCCTCCTGTACCTGGCTGCTCCCATTCACATAGACACCATGTTTCATCTCTTTCCTCTGTAGTGAACTAGTTTTAGAAATAAAAATAAATAATTTAGGTGAAGAAAACAAACAAACACACACACACCACTTTACAGGGACACTTCAGTTTCTTTTTTTTTAATGTAAACTTGCACATTAAAATGTTCTTGGTTATAATTTCAAATACTATTAGTACTCCCCACGTTTCCATATTTAAAATGAAATGGAGAGGTGTCTACTCACCTGCCAGAAGCACTGAAGGATTAGATGGGATTTTCTGGGTGTATTTTAGATCTTATTGTCCCCCAGTGTGTTGCACTTGCTGCTGCTGTGGAGCACCAGCACCTACAGTGCATTGCTGCTGTCCTCCCTCTGTCTCGCCTGCTTCTTCAGCTACCAGGATCCCTTCTGCCCAAAAAGAAGAGGAAATCCTCACCACAAGGTTTCCACCACAGCCAAAGACAATTGGAGTGAAAGGAATGGGGGTTCCATCACCTCATGTGGATGCTTCTAGACCCCAAGGCACGGCTGGCCCCCCTCCGACTGCTGAGGGGAGTTTGGCCCCGCTGCCAGCCCCGCAGCCCAGCCCCAGTGAGTACAGCCAGGGGGACTGGCACTGCTTTACCCTGCTGACACTGGGGTTTGGTCAAAAGCTGAAACCACCTCTCTGAGGTGGAGGTTGGGAGGCCCTTCAGGGAGACCCACCCGGGGTCATTAGAGCTGATTTCTTTATTGTAGAACTACTACAATCAGTTACAGGCTCCATCCTGTAGTTTCTCATCCTTTGGGGAAAAAAATAAGCCTTGATCCTCATGAACACCTCTACCACCCAGGTCTTCCCTGACATTTTGCTCAAAATTTGGTGAGCAGACCTCTGGAAAAGCAATACAGTGTTACTTCTTAAACATGCCTTCTTTAAAACTTACCTTTCCCTAGCCAGCCTATGGACTTCTCAAGGTCTAAAAAAGTACAGCTTTTGTTTTTCCTTTTTCATCTGGATATTTTTATATGCCATTGGAAGTACTGGGTGAGGGACCCTGGCTGTTGAGCTGTCAGCAATTCTTCTCAGTAGACAGATAAATAACAATATCCTCAGTAACACGAAGCGTGTGTCCTTCTGCTCCCACAGCTGACACAGATGAATTTTGGATGCAGACAGTGTTGCCTCTAGACAGCAGCAAGCTGATGCACACGGAGCCAGGTGAGATTGATCTGGGGTAGTAACAAACTGTCCCGGTTGGCACATTTGTGAAATAGAAAATAATATAGACAGAAATAGGTGGCTGTGGATGTATTTATACATCAATGTCTATGTAAGTGTTTATTAGTTATCTGTGACTTCGGCTTTTTTCTGTTATTCTTTCAATCAACCTACAAGTTCTGTTCTTTTCCCTCCTTCAGATTTTCCTTCCTCAGTGCTGTCTACGCCACCCTACAAGTCTGGTGTGACACTGAAGCTTTACTCTGCTACCAGTAAGTAGTTGCACCTCATGCAGCAAAAAGAATAGTGTGTTTTAAAGTATGTCAATATGCAAATTTTCCCATGCAGAAACAACACACATTTAATTTACATGATATGGATGTAAAATACCCAAAATGTCTAAGCGGCTGCTTCTATATTTGTTTGTGAATTGTGCACATTCAAAATACAAATTATACCATGGTGATAGAATCAACAGATGTACTCCATGTGTCAATTTTAACAAAGTTTGGTTATTGGAGAATTTTAAAATTAATTCATTAAAAAAAAAAAAAATCACGATTTAAGTCTCACTATTGTTACAAACTAAGTTAATCCATGAAATATGAAATCTTCAGAATTCCCCCAAATTTACAATACTGAAGATTTCAGCTAAAGAAGGATCATTATCAGCTAGATTCCTTCTTACAAGCACCAAAATTAAAAGTTAAAAATTCAAGGTTAGTATAAGATGATATGCCACTCCACTTATAAATATCATATACTTGTGTAGGCAATAAAATTATATTTACAGGTAAGTATTTAGTAAGAGATTACATGCTTTGAAAAACTGGACCTGATTCAATGCTAGGAAGGAAGCCTGAACTCTGTGAGAGTCCAGCACCTACTGTGGATGCTGAGCATGTAAGTGTCTGAGTCCAGGCTACCTGTGCCCAAATCTGCAAAGTAGGAGCAGAGCTCAAGAGTACCACAGGAATAAACCTCAGCCACAAATCCCAGTCTTAGGGACTGAAAACAAGTTCAGCTGTAGGTACCAGCATCACAGAGACCTAAAACTGGATAAAATGCACCACATTCTATTGACAACTTAGTACCCTTGGGATCCTTCCACTCCCAGTCTGGTATCTTTGCTCCAAGTGGTGACAATGGAAATCAAGCCTCTTGGCCAGATGAGCAGTGGGCAAGGTACAGCTGAAGTTGCATGTATGTCACAGTTTATATTATAGGTTATTAGAGATTATATGGTGCCCATTGACCTGGTAGGTAAGGAAGTCAGTTTGAGGGATATGTTGGTGTATGTGTTCCTGCGCTGATACTTATATGGAAACCACATCAATATTGTTATGATTTGATACTGAAGGGAAAATCCAGACTGCCTGTCCTGGGATCCAGATAAAATCTACGTGCCTGCATTCCAGACTGGGACCTTGATTGTCTGCTGTTTGGTGAAACAATCTTTTTAGGAATAGAAATTTGATAGCTACCACTGAATTTGATGTGAAAACTCCTATAGGGCATGGTGCTTGGCCTGTGCTCAGCTCAAAACCAGAAATGAAAAATATTTCCCCCTTTTTCCAGAATAAGCAGGTAGCTCAGTTCCAAGGTTTCCTGGCACTGGGACTATGTTCTGCCAGTTTGGCTGCTTAGAGCTATGATGGGGCTAAGAGCTCATGGGACTCTGGGAAGTTCTTGGTCCTCCCATTGAAGCTGACTCTGTTGCTTGCACAAATAAGTGGGAACATGAGTCTTGTCAAGTGGTGAGGACTGCCAGAGGGAATTTTTGAAATCTGTCCCTCAGCTGCTTGTGTTTCTGTGTGGCAACCAAGAGAAGCATAGACAATGGATAGTGCAAAGATAATATATCAGACTAAGTTACAGAACTCTTCAGTATCACTTCGACTTTGTATTACAGATAAAACTGGAGGAGTCTATCAAACAAAGATGCCAGTCAAAGAATACTTTTTCAGATGTCTGTTTGGATATTTAGGAACTACAACAAAAAAAGTTTTATATGAGCAAATAAAGGCCTGCAAATTCTGATGGATGGTAGACAAGGAGAGCAAAGAGAAACGTTGATGATATGATTTGTGATAGATTAGTAGGAAACATGGAAAAATAAACTGCGTCATCCTGGTATTGTCAAAGGAAATTGTGGGTCTTCGATATGGATTCCTAATAAATCTGACTAAGAGAAAACTGTTGATAGCCTGTCAAAACAGGAGAGGCAAAGTGAAAAACTGAGCATCGCCAGCAGATTTTTGCACAAAGAGAAACTCTGCAGCCTTGTGGCTGTTCTCTGCTAGTAGAGCTGACCCCGAGCATCAGGGATGCAGCCAGCTCCTTGGCTCCATACAAGCAATCCTCAGGGCTTCATTTTGGAATTACATGAAGGTTTACAATCCAAGTTCTGGGCTTTGTTTCCTGCTAATTCCACAATTTCTAATGATACTTCAAATACTGACTTCTCTCAGCTCATTGCTGAATTCCAACACAAATTTACTTTTCTGTAAAAGGTGGGTTTTTTTGAGAATTTGAGTCAGAGATAAAGGTACTTCCACAGATCTTTTCCTGGAATAATCACCTGGTTTTGCTACTGTTTTCTGTTGCAGCAATGCAAGACCAGAGTCCTGTGCTGTTACTTTTTGCAGCTTTTGCTGGTTCTGATCAAGCTTTTCATAGTTCCCAGTCTTGCTTTTTTTTTTTTTTTTTTTACTAATACTATTAGAAAAGAAAGTATTTGAGAGCATACAGCTCAGTGGGGCATCTGCTTTCAGCAGTAAATAAAGTTATCAGAGTTAAAAATACTGACCATGAAAAACAGTTTGAGAACAGCATCAAGTGATCATACAAACACAAGTCCTGCAGAGGCATTAAAAAAACCCCTATCTATTAAGACATGTTTCCAAGGAGAAAATTCACTGGTGCTAGGCTAAGCAGCAGTTCTTGATGTAAGAAGCTTTTTGAACCATGGAGGTAGGAAGTCAAATATCCTTTTTTGATCCTTCTCTCATTTACTTCTGACGAAAGAGTTCAAAATACCAGAGTTCTCATCTTACTCCCCATGACATATGTTGGTTGCGTGAAGAAAATGAGCCAAGGCTATAGCACTTGAATATAGTTTGACATCTTGACACTCTTCAAGGTGTGAAGAGAAGAATTTAAGCTGAATTAAATCTTATCTTGACTGGGAGCAGAGAAATCTGCTATGGTAATTGTCAACCACCAAAAACTCTGCACAAACCCAGTTTTCTGCATATGTTGTTTGCTTTGAGTGAGTTCCACCTGAGGATTAGCTAACAGCCAGTTGCAAGTTGCAGGATTGTGTGACTGGACTTGTGGTGTGCACAGTCCAGAACTTGTTCATATTCCAGCTGCTGTCTGGTGGGCAACACTACAGACCCTAGAAAGTTTAGGACTGAGAACCAGCCTATTTTGAAAAGGCTGGGAAATATGGATTTCAATGAGATCATAGAATGTGGAGTTACTAAATGCTCCTCTATCAGAAATCACAATGACAGATGTTGTCTACCTCCATATATCATGCATTTGAGAAAATATACCAAAGAATGGGATTTCAAAACAATGAGGGGAATCCACAGTGCTCTGAAGACTGAGACATTATTTCAAGAAGAAGTCATTAAATCACAAAAGTGGATGTCAATTGATAAAGTATGCAAGTGTGCATATTAAAGCATGCAGGGAGGGATATTGTAAATCTCAGTTACTCACAGCAGCCATAACATTGCACTTCACTGGCACCAAAGTTTTATCTGTGTCAGAATTATGTGATATTGAGTAAATAAGGGAAAAGTCTGTTTACTGCAGCAAAAATCGGTCACTTACCTGCTTGTGACAATAACAGTAATTTCAAAAAGACAAGAGCAAAACTCTGTACAGGAAGCTGTGGTTCCTGTGTTTTCTGGCCTCTTGACCGACTTGATTTCTTACAAAAGAAAATTCTTAGAAAAGAAGGTTCTGAAATACATCCCTATTTTTAATTTTTTTTTTTTTTAATTTCAGTCTAAAACTATAAGAATCTAGGAATTAAAAAAA